TGAAGCCCTAACTTCTAGTATGGCTGTATTTGAAGGGAGGACTCTAAGGAAGTAATTAAGGCTGAATGAGGTCATGAAGATGGGGCTCTGATCAGATAGGAATTAGTGTCCTTATAAAAGTAAAGATCAGAGAGATCACTCTTTCTCTCTCCCCTCACATATGCACCGAGGAAAGGCCATAGAAGGTAGCCATCTGCAAGTCAGGAAGAGAGCCCTCAGGAGCCAGATGGACGGACCATTTTGATCTCAGACTTCCAGGCTCCAGAACTGTGAAGGGTTAAATTGGTGGTGTTTGAGCTCCCCCAGTCTGTGTATTCTGTTATGGAAGCCCGAGCTCAGATAAGTGTGGATTCCAGGAGCCACTGATCCTTGGTAGGGGCACCTTAGAATCTGTCTTCCACACTTCATATTGTGAGGTTGGCCGGAATTCCACATAGACATTCCACATAGAAATTCCAGAGGTGTCTAGGTAACGTGGAATATTAAACAAATGCCGATTCTCCCCAGAGATTTTCATTCTGTCAGCCGGCGTGGGGCCTGGGAAGTCTCAATGAATTTTCCTGAGATGATTCCAGCGTTGGAGCAGGTGGACCACACGGGAGGGCTTAGAGTCCAGCAGCTTCAAATTCCAACAGCCTCTTAGCTCTAAGACCTGAGATCAGTGACTCCTCCTGCCAGCCAAAGTTTCTTCATCTGATGCAACATGGCGGCTTATTTAAAGAAAATGAAAAACACCGCCTAGTGGCAGCGGCTCCTCTCCCCAGCCCGACCCCAGCAGAAGGAGACCGGAACAGCTGCCTCACATCCCCATCCCCCTGCCCTTAGCGTTTGGTGTTTCAAGGCCATGGAAACATTTGAAATCAGAAAGGGACTTAGGAGATATTTAAGTGACCTGGGTCTTGCTTATCCTTATGCATCTTTTGGGGGAATTGGTGTGTGTGTGTGTGTGTGTGTGTGTGTGTGTGTGTGTGCTGAAATATACCACTGAGGGCTGGAGAGAGAGAGGGTCCAGGTGTAGATCTGAGGTCAGGTCAGATCTGAGGCAAGGGTCAATGTCCCTGACAGCATTACAAAAAAGCAGCCCTTGGCCATGCTGTCCATGAGCAGGCGGGTCAGCCTCCATGTGGTGACCATCACGGGAGTGACTCTGTTTTCTGGAGTCACAGAGTCCATGTTTGGGCATGTTGACTTCAGGGCAGTATTAAATGACCTGTAAAGTATGGGATACTTAAGGCTATGGAATGAAATTCACACCAGAAATGTGTCAAATGATGCATGTAAATCGCAGAGCACAGTGTCTGATGAGAAACATCGATCAGCTGCCTCCTGCATACCTCCTACTGGGGATGTGCCTGCAACCAAGGTGCATGCCCTTGACCGGAATCAAACCTGGGACCTTTCAGGCCGTAGACTGAGGCTCTATCCACTGAGCCAAACAGGTTTCAGTGAGTCTTGATCTATCTTGATCACCTTCCTCCCTATGAGATTTTACAAGGTAGGGGAAAGAGAAGGTGGACGCTATAAAGTTTGAAAAAGGAGGAGTCAGAGCTGGAGAGAGGTGCATGAGGACCCTCTCCTATAGACCTGGTGCCCACAGACAATGTACGAGAAAGTGGTTTCCTGTAAGGCCCATGCGTGAGGCACATGGAAGTTCGACTCAAGTTTTCTTAGTGGAAAAAAAAGAGACCTGGGAACAAGAGAAGCAAGGAACAGCAGGTTCTGCCTCTCCTTCGGCTGTTAGGTCCAAGGACAAGTACAGAAAGTGAAGCCAAGAGTATAGTTACCATAAAACTGGTCCACACGGGCAGGCCCAGGCTCTGCGCAGCGTGCTGCTAGAGCAGGGCTCTTTGCCCTAAAAGAGGAAACTGGGAGAGGTATCCAGGCAACGAGCCACCAGCCCAGCCTGAGCCCCTGTTCCCTTTTTGGGCGCCTTGGGCACGAGGAAAAAAGCAATCTATTTGGCGACATGCTAAGAACAACTTGGTATCAACTTGCTTTTTGGCCAAAGCCGTGGGTGCCTGAGGTTTCTTGAAACTTCTCTCCGTTCACTTCTGATTACCGCAGATTTTCCTGTTGTTGGAGAGGCGACCATCTCAACATGGTGGCGGGGGCTTGTGCTGGGCCGGAAGGTGCTGGGAAGAATTCCTGTAACTACTTGTTTTCTCTCTGTGACCCTCAAGGAAGTCTGATCCTCTTCCTCCACAGGCGGTTTTGTGAAGATCCCAGGAAGGCCCTGCCTCTGGGGCTGTCCCCACTCAGGGGTAGAGGTGACAGATGCGTGATTGTGTGTGTGTGTGTGTGTGTGTGGCCCTGGACTCTGATTTCATGCTTGCTTTGTCATATACTTTCCATAATTCGTGGTATAACTTCAATGGTCACATTGGAAAATGGATATTGTAAAAAAAACACAGAGAATATACTTCAGTATAATTGTGCTGGTCAGAAGAGAACCAGAAGATTTATTTATTTTTAATGTTAATCCATAGTGCACTTACTACGAGTGATGTGTTCTGAAGATGAGATGTAAGTTGAATGCCATTTTTTAAAAGTATATTTTTATTGATTTCAGATAGGAAGAGAGAGGGAGAGAAACATCAGTGATGAGAGAGAATCATTGACTGGCTGCCTCCTGCATGCCTCCTACTGGGGATGGAGCCCGGAACCCTGGCCTGTGCCCTGACTGGGAATGGAACCATGACCTCCCGGTTCATAGGTCGATGCTCAACCACTGAGCTTGAATGTCATTTTAAGGACTGTCATTGTTGCCTTTTGAGCATGTCCGCAAATCTTTGTGACTGGAGTGAAGTCTGGGCTTATCGGCCCCCCATCCTATCTCCACCCCAACTCTGAAGGCTTCGAGGCTGTGATCTGTGTATGTGTACGTCGTCTTGAGTTCTGGGCCACCTAAAACAGCATCTGCATTTGAATACTTTCAATAAACTCCCTTATCCTCAACTTGAAGAAGTCTCAAGCATCTTCTGAACTGAGAAAATCAAGAACTCTTGTCCAAAGAGACCAGCCATCGAATCTTGAAATGTGACTGGATGTTTCTGCTCCGCTGCTATTGCCTCAGGAGGACAAGCATGAGCCAGGCCTCCCCAAGGCCTTCCTGTGCTTGCCCCTTGCTGAATTCCGGCTTCCGTTCACTTCCCTGACCTAATGACTAGGTCTGATTGCAGCAACTCTCCCGCCCTAAGCCTCGAAGGCCAGGCAGGCCCGGATGGCAAGCTAGGAAGAAGCCCTAAGGTCCTCTGGGATATTTGGAATTGTGTGAAAAGAAGAAACCACCTTTTGTTCTTGTTGGTGGGAAGGACCAGATTCTTAACTCTGTGACTCTCACCTGTACTTAAAAATATGTTTTGTCATGGCAAGATGGTTGCCTGCAGTGCAGGCTTACCACCTTACAGGTCCTATAGTCAGTGGGTTAAAAACAAAAGAAAAATGCCCTTTTCCGTTGTCTAAAACTCCCTGCCCGCCAGTCTCCCTGAATCAGCTGTTTGTATAGGACTGGGTTGGCTTAGATCACATACTCCTGAGCCTGAACAAGGGCCACAGGGCTCTGGTCGGTCAGTCTGGAAGGGGTGCTCACTCTGGAGCCGGGGTGTTTGCACACAGAAGTGGAAGATGGCTGGGAATTAGAGGGCAATTGGTGTGCAGTTATCAAGAGGTGGGGATGGATACTGGGGGGACACAAACAACAGATGTTGGTAGCAGTGGGGGTTCTAGGAGAATACAGGAGGGGCCCCCAGCTAATAACGCGGGGGGCCAATTTACTAATTTATGATGGGAGACAATTTATTGGAACAATATGAGGCAGAATTTTGATTGGACAAGTTTGGGGCACGGGATCTATCCTCAGCCAGGGCTACAAGGCCAGAAAACTGTAACTTAGAGTTCCATTACCACCACAGAATGGGAAGGAGTAGCAGTCCAGAGGAAAAGTGTGGCTCTCTCTCTACAAGAAAGGGAAAATGATTTGGGGGAGGCAAATAAAAAAAGTCAAGAGATGTCTACTGATACAGTACTTAAATGATGGGGAGAACCTATAGTGGATTAATAGCCAGAAAGAAAATGGAATCTTCATACCTAAAGTATGTCAAGATGCTGGTGGAAATTATGCTGCTGAAAATTCAGATACGATGTGTATGTAACGGACTTTGCAATAAAAAGGTTACTAACCTTGATTGCAATGAGATCACAGTATTCATATTTCAAAGAAAATGGGCCTTTGCCCTCTCTTAGTGTAAAAACTGTGATAAGAGGTCTTCAGAGATGAACATCAGTTGAGAACTGAAACTTTTGATGACTGAAATGAAGTTCTGATATTCTGAATACACTCGGATATTTAAAGAGAAGCGCTTGAAAAATTAAGGAACTATTACTGAGCTCAGTTTCTCAAACAAGTAAAGGTGTAGCAGCAACCTGTCAGGTTGAGTAACAGATGATGAATATGTTTATCAAAATATTCACAGAGATAAAGGGTTATTTTAAATTATTTGATGAAATAGGCTCAGTGTTAATTTGCCAAGGTCAAACAGTAAGCACTAAACTTAATTTTAAAAATGCTTTACTTTTGAATAGTTTACAAGTAACCATAGTGAAAAATATTCAGATACAGAAATGTGTCACGTTTAAAGTCTCATCTAATCTACACTGTTCAAAGAAAGCCGTTAATGGACCTTTCTATATATTATAAACAAGACAAATTTTAAAATGAGTTCATACTACACTTTTCTACCAATAGTTTTGTTTCACTTAATATGACATGGCCATTTTTCCATGTCCGTACACAGTAAGTGTAATTTGCTCTTTTTAATCCTCATCTAAGTTTTCTTAATATGGTCAAATCATGTTATTTAAGCAATCCCTTACTGGTACCATTTAGGTTTTATCCTGTATTTTTCTATCATGTAATTTTTTGCTTCTGTCTTCAGCACTGTCAGTTCCTTTTTCACCGACTTCCAGTTTGGAAAGTGATTTGACTGTAACTATGACCTGTAGTTTAATACTTGGATCTATCATTTCAATATTGATAGATAGTATTTTTGGACTCAATTTCAAGCAATAGAAACCAAACTCCAAGTAACTTAAACAAAAGGGTATTTATTGGTTCACAAAACTGAAAAATCCAGAGGATATACTAGCTTCAGGCACAGATGGATCTAGGAGCACAAACATTGTCATCAGGAATCAAGTCTCTCCGTCATTTGGCTCCGCCTTCCTCTGCACTGGCTTCATTCTCTGACTGGCTCATTATATGGTGGACCCTGCTGGTTTGAGCTTGTTCATCCTGCAAAGGCAAGCAACCTCAGTAAATAGTTTCTGAGCTTTTCCTCTTCCATGGTTCAGTCAACTCCTAGGGTTGAGTATCACTTGATCAACTTGAACCACATGACCATTCCTGAATCGAATCAATCACTATGATCAAGGAGATGAACTATGCTGATTGATCAGGTCTGAACTACAGTATGTTCACACATGAACTCTAAGGTTAGGTTGGACTGTCTAGACTCTGTGGACTGAAAATAGGGAGATACGGTTCCAAGAAACATCAGGGAGTTGTCACGAAGAGATGGAGTAAATGCTGGTCAATTAAGAGTAACTGATATCAATGATAACATCGGATATTGAAAAAGCTTAATCTCTGCTCATAAAGTTGAATTGTAACAGCTGGCATTATTCTTTCTTGGTAATAAAAGTATTCTGAAAAACACACACATCATGAGTATGTCTGTCGTCAGGAAGCTTATAACCATTTGTATGGAATAATCATGTCCAGTAACATACTCTAGATGATACAATAGAGACTCAATATAAGAGTCTGAGAGCTCACTTATCTAGTTGACATAATGCAAGACAACTAGTCTCCCAATGGAAAGTAGTTCTGTGAGGCTATTCAAGTCAGTGGTAGATGTGAAGTTCCTGGAAATCTTTTGTGTTCAAGTCTTTTGCCAAGTTGGACACTTCTCATTTCTGTGCTGTTGAATCAGATTCAACTTCTGTATTACTGCAGAAGAGAGAAATTGACAGTGCTTTTTATCTGCTATCCTCCTTCAGATCTGCTAGGAGGAGCTCCAGGTTCTGAACATGATAAAGCATATATAGGCTGAGGCTTACTCTGCACTTAAAGTATACAGCATGGAAATCCTGGTGGAGTGAGGTGCAGGTTGCTTCAGTTAAAAACTCCTTGGTGGAATCTGGTATAAGATAGACTGAGATCAGTGGTGATCTGTTCCAGGACAGCAAGTTTGATTGCAGTAATGTGTCAAAAAAAGGCAGGCAAAGGCCGAGACAGGTAAATAGATAAATAGGGTACCTTCAGCAGGGCCAATAACAAGGGTATAAGGAAGAACACGTAGTTTAATATTAAAGTCCTGTGAATTAGTTTTTACCTGGAATACTCCAGGGTTAATCCATAGTGTTTATTCTGGATACACTTTTCAGATCTTAAAATAGCCAGCCGGGTACAGCAGATTTCACTTTCCTGCTCATTTGCCCAACAAGAATTTTCAGCTCCGAAGGCTATATTCTGAATTCCCCATCTCTTGAGGTTCTGTTTAGGTGTCTATTCCTACACCTGGGAATAAGAGGGTTCATCAAGATTGGCACTACTTTCTTTGGTTATCAAAATCTCCATCTTCTGTAATTCAGCACATCTCAGGGAATCAAAGACAAGGCAAGGCCTCAGACTGGTCGAATGGTGCTGCTGGACTTAGATGAGGCATGGAGATAGTAGGTTAACAACTTGGGTTTCAATTTTAGTTTTATTTTGCTTTTTCAAACATCAATTCTTATACACAGTGTTCATTAGACTCTTGAAAGATGATCATTCTCACCTTAAGTCCCTCATTTTGACAGGAATTAAGGGAGTGACTGGCAGTGTAGATCAATGTCTTTTCCTGTACAGAAGAAAAATCTAGCTGATGTTCTGAAGGCAGTAAAAGAGGTGAGTTTGTAGATTTCTTCTTTACAAATAATAGTTGTATATACAGGCAGGATAGTCATCATTTTATTTTTGTTGATAGTAAGCAGTCTAGAGTAACTAGGCATAGGCCTAGATTAATGATTTGAAGACTACCTCATGTTCTCATAATTAGTCTAGTGGATAAGAGATACAGAAACCATTTCCAACATTTAACCAGTGCATTCATTATTAAAGTAGTTGAGGACAGCTGGCCCTTAAGTCAACTGTGCAGTAAATAAGGTTTCAGTCTACTTGTTTAACATGATTTGGTCTGAAGTTCACAAATCGAATCCTTCCTGCAGAAACAGGTAAGTTGTCTCAATGCCTGAGGAATGAAGTTGGCCACTGTGAATCTGTGTTCAAACAGTATTGAGACAGGTATAATCCCACGAACATATTCACAAGGACAAGGGACTGTGGTCTTGTGACATTAGGAAGCACAACAGGAAGCTTGAATCTACTGACAAAATCCTTAGCTGCAGGATTTGTAATTTTTTTTCAAGTCAGTCTACATTTTTAGCAAAAGATTATACACAATTTGAGATTCTCAGCAAGTGCCTACCTCAAAATATCCCTAATATCTACAGTTGATGGTACCAGACTTCAAGACCCATCTTAAAACACTCAAATGACTAGAAGAAAACTTTCCAAATAGCCACATTTTAAATCACATCAGAAAAGATGTTCACAGATGGTCTCCTGTAGATCATCAGGTCTTGCATGTAGTTAGAGCAGAGTATTTGTAATTTTAAAATATGCAAAGCAGATATGCCAATGATGGAGGAATTATTTTAGCTTATTAAATGTTATTAGCTCATTTATCCTGGAAACAGCAGTGAAAAGTAAAAACCAAGCAGTAGTATTACTGCCACTGATAGAGTCATAGTGACTTGTAGTTTGAGAATAAGATGGTAAAACCAGGTACCATTTTAGCTAACATTGCCAGAATTTGAACTCTGCTTTCAGTTTATGGTTATCCCTTGCACACGGAAGTAGAGTACCATGGTTGATGATGGGAGGTCCGATGAACAAGTTGGTCTACTATGGCCTCAATGAGGCATCAGCTTCAATACCTGGCAACTCAGGTATCTGAGGAGGATCAAGACTTCAGATTCACGTATTTCAAGTACCATCGGAGCATCTGGTGTTTGTGAAAGAAGTTGGGTTAAGGGGGTTTGTCAGTGTAGAGTGCGAATGATTTACTGTCTATACCCAAACCCAGGAATTATAGTAAGTCCATATGGGGGTACAGCATGATTAATTTAGGTCCATTTGATACACTTTTGGCCCACATAACTACTTGGAGGCAAAGTTCTTGCGCTTTTCTGAGTGTGTCCATAGTTAAGTATTCCTAAGAATGTTCAGCACCAACTGAACATGGACTGCGTTGGGTAGAGGTACAGGTTGGAATATCATTCAGGTCGAACAGGTTGTCTAGAGTACTGTTTTTCCAAATGTGTTCTGAAGAATTCTAGGTGCTGTAAAGGAGTCTCTCCTTAGGCGTCACCATGGCGACAGAGGAGGATGCTTGTGGCAGCTTTCAGGACTGCCACTCTGCTTCGTCCAGAGCAACTTCACTTTTACTTAGGGCTTCCACAGTTTCCGTTCAAAGGGCTTCACGGCCAGAGCCTTTGGAAAGCCAATCATCTAAGCATAAGTTGTTCACAAAACGCTGAAATACAAAAAATGGGTCACAGAAACCAGACACTGGGTAAGCCAAGTCTTTGGTAAGCCAAGGAGTTTTCCTATTCATTCTTCCCCTAAGGTGGGCCACATTACAGAATTATGAAATTCAACATTCAAACATTCATTTCCTGAAATTGGGCTTGTGACTATCAGAGAAAAGTCTTACATGACAATAGCACTGGGGCTTTTGCAGTCAGAATACAGCTGCGAAATGCATTCATTTCTTTGTAAATATTACCCCAAGAAGTCCATGCTAGATGACTTCTTTTTAAGCACTGAGATCTCAGTGGGCCACAATTCAGAAATTCTAATGCAATATCTCCTCATCCTCCATTTTTTCCCCACCCACTTCCTCTTTTTTCCCTTCCCAATCTTTCACCCATCTGAGATGCAATGACCTTGGACTAGGTTTGGAGCACAATGGTAGGATACAGAGAAATCTATCACTGTATGTCATAGAATCCATCCACATTTGGATGAATTAACTTTCCCCTCTCCCCCTCCCTAGTATTCCCACTAATCTTTTAGAGGTTCCTTTGACAGGAAATCAAGGTAATGGTCAAGAAAAAGAATTCTGCCTAAATCAGCTTGGCTCAGTAGATAGAGCGTCAGCCTGCGGACTGAAGGGTCCCAGGTTTGGTTCTGGTCAAGGGCATGTGCCTTGGTTGTGGGAACATCCCCAGTGGGGGCTGTGCAGGAGGCAGCTGATCGATGTTTCTTGCTGTCTCTCTCCCTTCCTCTCTGTAGAAAATTAATAAAAATATATTTTTTTAAAAAAAGAACTCTAAAAAAAATTCTGATTATGGAAACATGCCAATTCAAAGTTGTTATTGATAAGAAAAAAGGGATGTGTGTGTCAAAGATGCAGTTTGTTCCTGGGCCTCCAGGGCAATCGGTTGGCATTCAAAAAGCACTGGCTGTGCCACTCTTCAGCAGCTGCCTCATTCCATTGAAAGGAATGCTGCAAGATAACATTCTGTTTGATTCAACTTAGAACACACCAGACTAAACAGCTAAATGACAGTTGTTTTTTGCTGTAAGCCTTATGATATTCTTTAATACACTACACTGCATTATCAATGAGAGGGGACACATTTGATAGTATTTTTACCACCTTACTGGACTACAGCAGCTCTATATGTATGACATATGTTGTGTATACCAATACACATACATAAACAGCACTGCTCGAAATGGATGGTACAATTATTAGTTAGGGGGTTGATAAAAGAACCATTGATAAGATCTTAAGACTTAACAACATAAAACAGAGGCATGATTGCACAAGGATTCCCCAGTCAATAGGTCATCTTTGTGAAGACCAAAGACAGACAAAATATCTTAACAGCAGCTTTGTTTCATGTTGGTAGTGTTGTGAATGAACGTGTCTTGTTGACTGGACAATCTACCACCATAGAGTCTGCTCCTAAACCTTAGGGGTGTTTCCATGGAATTCTGGTCTAGGGCCGCTATCACGGTATTACATGTATGATATCCTGGTTGAGGGCACTTTTCTGGGGTTCCCAACCTGCCGTCGTCTTAACACTGTGCGTAGAGGCAATATTAATTCCAAGGAAAGAACTGGACCGGGAGTCAGAAGGTTTGGCCTCTACCACCTGATAACCTTTCAAATCCCATTTCCTTATTTGCAAAACAGGATTATAGTCTAGTGTGGGATTTTGATATTAACACATGTAAAAGTGCTCTGAGACTGTAAAGTGCGATAAAAACATAAGGGATTACCATTATAGGTTCTACCTGGATATCTCCAGTGGCCTTTCTTGGAATCTGATTGAAGCTTTGTGAGATGCTGGGTAAAGGATTCCTTTGTAAAATTCCTTACATTTGTGTGAAAAGTTCTAGTTCCCGAATAATCCCAAAGATGCTACGAGGACTTCACTAGGCCTTTGTTTTTATCCCAATGGGTCAGAACACCTGCTTTCTCATTCAGTAGGATACTACAGATTTGATGTGGAAAAAGATTAGTGTCCAGTGACCTGTATGGGATCCTCAACACTTCATAAACATTTGAGATTGTGGTCCAATGTTGTTAAGATGTTACCGTTCTTCAGACAATGTTGAAAACTAAGAATCCCCTGGTCCAAATTTATTGTGTCTCTCTGAAGGCTTTAACTGAAGAAACAAAATACACACTCATGGAACCAACTGAGCCTCTGTTGTGATGAAACCAGTCTCAGCTATTTGGCTTGAGGAGTGACTTCACCTAAGGGATGTGTTCAATCGGTGGTGAAGGCCAGGAGTGGAGGTGAAGGCCATATCGTGATGGCTGACTGTCCCTTGGGTCACCGTGGTCCACTGGAATGGTATCTTCTTCAGTAGCAAGGAGACAGAAATCACCACGGACAGAACTCCAGGTACCAAACCTGTAGGCTAAGCGAACAACACAAGGAAGACGGTCAGAAGGCCCAGGGACAAAACAGGTAAGATGACAAATACATGGGATTACAAACATGGGACGCGAATCCTGGAGTGGCTCTGCAGTAAGCACATCAGCTGCTGGATGTGTACCAACTCTTGATAAGGCTGACAGAGAAGCTTACAGCTGATACATGAAAAAATGAGCCTTATAATCAATTATCAGTGATGATAAGAACAAAGAGTTCTCTGGCAAAGATTGTTTCCAGACTCTTGAGAATAACCATCTTGGGAACTGTCCTTATTCTTATACTTTTGGGGAGTAATTTGATTGTCTTCAGCCTGCTGGGCAGTGGTTGGTAGGTAATAAAGAAGGCTCCACAGGAACCACAAGAATTGAATTTAGGTTTACATACTAACACAAAGGCAAAGGAGATCTTGCCCTTCTCCCTTTCCCAACTGTCTCATTCATTCTGACGACATTTCGAATGGGAGAGAATAATGTACCTAAGTAATAATGCCCCAATGCATGCACCCTTCTGAAATGCCCTATACAATATATCAATTTCTCTGTTTGAAGGCTCCTGAAATCTTTTTAAATTCAGAATTTAATAACATGAAACAAAGGAAGAAACATGGCCCACAACTAGTGATCTTTTTCCTAATTAAGAGTAACCAGGTTGTCACACAATGATTAAGCAAACACTTACTGAATGCTTACTCTGGGATAGCCTGATCTCTAAATTCCTCTATCCTATTAAAAGCTTCATTGTATGTTGTAGTATGTGTGGGCAAAGATTCGAAGACTTTTTCCAAGGGCTTGCTATCTGCAAGAAAGCAAATAAAACAAGCATGCAAGTAAATAACTACGTTTACAGGGTATCACATACAAGGATACAAGATATTGAGAAAATGGCAGAGTTTTGGCAGGTGAAGAACCAGAGGAAGACATTTCAGGGTAGAGAAGAGAGGATGAACAAAGGCGCAGAGATGGTCAAGAACAAGAATGGGAAAATGGCAATACCGTGGTTCGGTTTGGATGCAGCATCGTCAGAGTGTGCACTGAGCTCTGGCAGAAACTCAGGCCTTCAAACTCCCAGGAACAGCGCTAGTGGCACTGCTTGCGTAGTCGTCGTTGTCGCCTCTCTTCTGAAAGCGAGGTCAATAGTCCCCAAATTGAAACTATCCAGCTCCAGAGTTCCTACCACATCCTCACACACACACACCCAGGTCCCAGGTCTTGCAAATCTGGAGTCCACGCCGTGGCGACTGAAAGACCTCTGCTCCAGCGAGTGCGAAACACTGTAGTGAAACCCTCTCAAACCTCGATCCTGGACGTCGCGCGTTTTGTCACAGAATTTCAAGCTTTGAGTTCCAGATGTTTGTGTCCCTTTTTTCTGCTGAGAAAAGCATCTTCTCACCACAATCTCAAGATTCTTTAGCAGTACATCCAGGTTTTATTACAAAACACCAACACATTTCCCCCCAAATAAGTTATTTCTCTGGAAGTGAGATCGTTTGTCTCTGTCCTTTAGGTAAAGGAACAGTCAGTTGATTTTTTTCTTTCAGACATTTGGATGCAATAGCAGAACCGGGTAACATGTTAACCAGACAAAATACACTTAAACGTGTGTGTTCGTTTGCTTAGAGTTGTACCACTCCACAACACAAAAATGTTTGAAATCCAGCTGTTCAAACATTTCTATAGTGTTTGCCGGGTAATAGCCTGGAATCAGATAAAAGCAGCTGACAATGAACAAAGAAGCAAAAAATGGGCATTTGGCCACCTTAGCAACACACTTGCAAGCAAAGAGAGTACAAAGCAGTCCAGGAAAAAATAAAGTTAAGCTTGGAAAAACTTCCAAATCTACTGATTCTGAGGTTCAGCACAGGTTCGAACTCAATTGTTCAGAAAACGTTAACCTTCATTTAATAAAAATACCCCCGTAGCATCTTCAGGAATTCCTGCCTGGATCAGTCTGTTCCAGTGAGCCAGCTTTCGAAAAATCCACCTGCACCATTAATTAGCTTGACTTGGCAGCACCATAAGCCTGCTCACTACCAGCCACAGAGACCAGGGGTATAAAATAGGAGCAAGTAACAGATGGCAAACATGGTTGTGAAAAATGGGGAAGGAAAGAGTCAGAAAGGTAGGCACCAGTATAAACAGCAGCCAAGTGAATGGGCCAAAGATGAGACAGGCTTCTGGATACTAGAGAACTCATCCACCCCTCGTTTCAGCTGCTTTATACTGGATGCCGCTGTACCATATGCATTAGCCACCCTTCAGGCACCCCACGGGGAAAGGAAAGGACTCAGGAAAAAAGCCAAGCAGTGGAGTGTTGTTACCCCAATATCCATAATGCACAGAAAAGCTCACATATCCCAGGGATTCGAACAGGGGCTTCAAATTGGTTGTGGAGGATCTCAAATGACATCTGGGCCTCAATTTCCTCCCCGTGGCATTGAGAAATTGTGGTTAACTCTTTGGGGGAGGGAGGGGTGGCTTCTCCCTTTGAGAACTTGTTGGCGATGGATCCTCACTCCCCTAAAATGCACATCCCCACTACTTCCTGCCTACGATTTCGGGGAGTTTGGGGATTTCCAACTCCAATCCAAGGTTCCTTAGGTTCCAAATCGATGGATTGGGAAACTGCTTTTCTTCTTACAAATCAGGAAATTTTACAAATAATAATGATCCCTTATGTACACGGACGCTTTCTAAGTTTACAAAGCGCTTTTAACCCCACAAACACAGACAGAGGAGGAAACTGAGGCGCAGATTACAGAGGGACCTGCCTGAGGTCACCCGGCCCGCTGGTGGCTAGGCCCGGAAGCAAACCCAGCTCTTCCGACTCCGGGGCCCGCTTCCCAGCCCGGAGCTGCCGCCGGAGCCCCCGCCTCTCACTTAAGGCGGCATAAGGAGGAAAAGGCAAAGTAGGAAGCCCACCACCAACCATCCCCCGGCCCCTTCCTGTCCCTCCAACTGGGTCCTTGCAGGCCCCGAAGGGTGGCGCCAGGCCTCCAGGCCGGCCCCGGCCGCCCCCGCTTCCCCGGCCGCGCCAAGTCCCGCCGCCGCCGCCTCCCCGGGAGCGGGGCGGAGCAGCTGCCCGCCACCACCAACCACCCGGACGACTCCTCGTCGAATCGCAAACGCATAGGCCGCCGCCCGAGTTCTGCGGACGAGAAGAAAGACTCGGCGCGAGCGCCAGCGGCCACCGGGCGCGCGCCGCGGCGGCCGGGCCTGCGCCCCAAGAGCTGGATGCCAGAGCAGGAGAAAGAGCCGCCAACCGATCGCTCGATCGACCGCGCGCCCGCTCCTTCGCCCTACCAGACCGGGGAGGGGGGGAGGGCGCGCCAGGGCTTCTTCGAGTTAGGGGCCTGACTCCCCGGCGACGAGACAAGATGGCTCCTCCGGTCCGCACCGCAGCTACCGTCCCGGCTGCGTCGCTCGGCCCGCCCCCGGTACTGTTTCTTTAAATGGCGGAGAGGGTCACGAAAGCAGGAAGAGAGGCGCGCTCTGCCTCACGTGACAGGGGCGGGCCCAGCTAACAAGATCCGGTCACGTGGACGCACATCGGGCTACCAATCAGGACGCGCCGTTTTAGGGCGGGGGCGGGAGGAGCCGCGGCTCTGTGATTGGCTGAACGCGCCGCGGGGACCTCGGGGGTTCGGGGCGTCGGGGAGTGCGCGAGGGAGCCCGGTCCGTGTGCATCCAAGGCGCAGACAAAGCGGAGCCTGTGGTGGCCGCAGAGGCAGCCGTGAGGCAACCCTGAGAGCCGAGTGTCGTGGTGCTGAGTCCGGTCCTCATCTCATTCTGCGCGGCGCACGGAAGGCTCGTGTCTGGGCGGCGGCGGCGGCGGCGGACGCGGCAGACGCGGCGGCAGCACATGGTTCCAAGAGCGAGCTGCGGTTGTCGGGTTCCAATTCCGCGGGGAGGGACAAAGGCAGCCGCGAGCGCCGGGCAACGCCCCGTCGGGTGGAGCGCTTGATCCGGGCTCTGGAAGCGGGGCTCAGCCCTTCTCTGAGGAGAGGCCGAGGCCACGGTCTGAGGAGAGTGGGGGAGGGGCGTGCCCGTCTGAGGTGACGGGGCGGGCCCATTGTGAGGTGGTTTTAGCGGGTCTTTGTGAGGTAACTTGACGCGCTGCCCCTTCTGGAGACCGCGGTGCGGCTCTGAACCGCGGGAGTCCGCCCTCAGCGGTTGAGAGAGATTTCAGTTGGGAGTTCGTGAAGCTGAACTATCTTGTCGCCATACCAACCCGAACCATGCTCACCAGCCTGGGGCCTGTTTAAGGATCCTGGGATCATTTGGTGGCGAAGACATGGGCGATTGTCCGGTTTCCTAACAGAAGCTGGCACATTTCCGGAGTGGTAAGTTCCCTAGAAGAACGAGAAAGGGCTCGAAGAAGACGAAGATGGAGCAATAATAATAAATAAATAAAAACCCACCAGCTCCAGGACCATCTGCTTCAAGGTTATCCACATTTCGACTCATTGAACTCTCTCGCCACTTCACGTGAACCGCCCCCAAGACTACGGATGTAGGACGGTTCTGTTCAGAATTTTTCCGTTATAGTCTGAGAAGATTAAAAAAAAAACCGAAAAGGAGAAATCAATTGTAGGGTCAGACATCTCTGACTAGATTTTGGATAGGTTCGCAGCACACTGGTTGAAGGAGCACAGACTTAACCAAACTTTTCAGGAAGGAATCCTGGAAAACCTATTCCCTTGTAGAAGGTTGTATCTCCCAGTTAGCAGGTGCAGGCCCGAACCTCACCGCAATCATGGCTTTCACAAATTACAGCAGTCTGAATCGAGCCCAGCTAACCTTTGAATATCTGCACACAAATTCGTAAGTATCCTTGTAGATGCCGCTGTAGTCGCCGATAACTCATTTCTTGATATTCGTACGGAAATCCTTCTCCCAGGAAATTATGCTTTTGCACTTTTGGGGATGTTATCACTGGAGGAGCCTTGAGCTCTGTATGGAAGAACAGAGATCAGTGAAATATTTCTTGCTAATCCAGAAGAATATGACCCCTTATTGGATCAAAACGTATTTGTTCAAATGCAAGCTAGTTATCTGAGGTCACTAGATCGAGGTGTTTCCTAAGTGTTTGATAGGAATCCAAGAGCTGTTCTTTGGATCACCAAAAGTTGGACTATTCTAGCATATTCTATTGGGCTATAACGAGTTTTTTCTTTCTAACGAGGGGGGAAAAGAAGACACTTAAATGACAGCTTATGAGAAGAAATTAATTTTTTCCCTCCAGCAAACAGTTGGCTTTATATTCCTTGGGAAATTCGTCCCCAATCCGACATTGTTTTCATATGCTAAGCAGGAAATAGCAACTTGTTTAAACCCATGATTTAAATAGTCACTCTCCAAAGTGTGTGCAGATCTCAGAACACATGGTGTTTGAGGTTCTGGGATTCACGAAGAAATTGCCATCACTCCAAATTGGACTGGAATGTTTCAGGGTTAATCCTTATGTTCACTCTCTTGGAAGTATTCCTTTGGGCTCATAACTATTTTTTGTTTTAATAAGCTAATTTTCACTCGAGATAAAGGTAAGTATTCTAACATTTTAGTATGTGGAGAGGTGATGAACAGCTAAAGGATGGCCCAGAGATCTGAAGAATCACCTTCAGGGCAGAGACTATAGACTGCAGTTATCCAATAATAGTATAACTTTATCTTTTTATAGGAGGCTTTAGAAATAAAAACAAAACCCTAAATTCCAGAGTCGTCTTTGTGATCATGTCTGTAAATTGTTTTGCTTGCTATTTTTCCTATCAAGGACATTTTTCTAAGTGAAGTAAATTGTCAAACTATGAGAACTTGGTTTTATTTAGGAAGCTTATTGAACTAGAGTGTTTTAGAGTAGAATTCTTATGGTGAATTGAAATCCTGTTAGGTAAGATTGCTGACTAGTTTACAACATGGCCTTGGGCAAAACCCTTGCTTCCTTTGTGTTTGAACTGTCACTTTCGGAACCAGCAGTTGAAGACCTCTAGACGTTCACAGATGATCGGGTTTTGCAGTGAGGGGCCAGATTTGGAATAGCAGACTATTTGATAATCTTGGAAGAACATGAATGGGACTTCTAAACTGGGTTCTTGTTCGAGCTTCCCCAGACTTTATTTGATTATAAAATAAGTTTAAACATGGCTGAAAGTAATCTTTATAGCAACACTGCTGGGGATTATTCCTATTTTGCATTTGAGGAAACTGAGGCTCAAAGAGATTAAGTTACACACCGAAGGTTACACAGCTGCTAAGTGGCAGAATTAAGGCACTAAGATTTATCTGGCAACAGTGGTTAGTGCTTTCAACCATTAGGTAGCACTGGCTCTAGTCATTTTTACCATTTCAAAAAATATATATTTTTATTGATTTCAGAGAGGAAAGGAGGAGAGAAACATCAATGTGAGAGAATCATTGATTGGCTGTCCCCTGCACGCCCACCACTAGGGACTGAGTCCACAACCCAGGCATGTGCCCTTGACTGGAATCAAACCTGGCCCTTCCGTCCACAGGCCATCGCTCTATCCACTGAGCCAAAGGGCTAGGGCCAGTTTTACCTTTAAGGGCTTCTTTTCTTATCTACATAGGAAAGGGTTTACTTCTCACTTTGAAAGTCTTCATTTTTATCTCAGAGCCTCTAATTTGGAGATTCTGGGATATTTGTCTCTGCTTGTTTTGCTATATTATAACTTAATAACAATAACATTAGGTGGACAGAGCCAAAGCAAAGAATTGAACCTCAGTTAAATCACCAAATCGATATTGGAGAATTTTCTGTGAATTTGATTTACCAGTGTCGAACTGGAACCACCTGCTTGCGTGGACATTTGAGGGTTGGATGTATCATTTTGGAAGCTCTGGGATATCTGGATTACATTGAATTTGTCTACTTTTGAATATGTCCACTTGTGCCAGAAGAAAATATGAACCTAGAACAAGATAAGTTTCTGGTTTGTAATTCATTTCAAGAGATTTCTTTAATGTGCTGACCTGACTGGAAGTTCACTTCTAGAGGAAACAAAATTTTTAAAGTAAAAATTATTTTATAGCCGAAACGGGTTTGACTCAGTGGATAGAGCGTCGGCTTGGGGACTGAAGGGTCCCGGGTTCGATTCCGGTCAAGGGCATGTACCTTGGTTGCGGGCATATCCCCAGTAGGGGGTGTGCAAGAGGCAGCTGATCGATGACTCTCTCTCATCGATGTTTCTAACTCTCTATCTCTCTCCCTTCCTCTCTGTACAAAATCAATAAGATATATTAAAAAATATATATATATATTATAGTTTGATAGAGAGAAACAGACACAGATATCGATTTGTTCCACTTATTTTATGCATTCATTGGTTGCTTTCTTGTATATGGTCTGACTGGGGATGGAACCCACAACCTTGGCATATTGGGACAAAATTCTAACCAACTGAGCTAGCTACCTGGCCAGAGCCTTAAATTTTCTTAATCTGTGACTTGATGTGTGTGTGTGTGTGTGTTTTAAATATATATTTATTGCTTTCCGAGAGGAAGGGGAAGAGAGAGAGAAACATCAATGATGAGAGAGAATCATTGATTGGCTGCCTCCTGCAACCCCAACTGGGGATTGAGCCCTCAACCCAGGCATGTGTCTTTACTGGGCATGTGTCCTAACCGTGACCTTCAGGTTCATAAGCCAATGCTCAACCACTGAGTCAAACTGACCAGCCTTGATACTCGTTTTTTAAATTTTTTTTTTAAAGGCAACAAGGGCCTTGATAATCTTAATGGTAGATGTATCTCCTGTGTTAAGTGGTGCAGTGTCACCTTCAGATAGGGCAAAATTTGTCCTGTATCGTCTTTTTTGTTTTGTTATAATGTTTAAAAGATCTTTTGAAGAAGTTCCCTGACATCTACAATACAGCCATATTGTGAAATATGAAATGGCCCTTTCCTTACCTCCTATTTAATGTAGATTTGCAAGCCGAACCCAAACTAGAAAGATGGAAAGTCATTGTGATGCAGTGGAAAGATCACGGGCTTGAGAGCTTGCCAAGTCTGGATTTGATTGCTTCTTGGCTGTGTCCTTGGGCAGAGGCCAAATTCACTGAGTCTTCATCTGTAAAATGGAACTAGTTTGACAGTATTTCTGAGTATTATGTAATGTTTATAATTCATACATGAAACATGGTAAACATTGAATAGATCAGTGGTTCTCAACCTTTCTAATGACCCTTTAATACAGTTCCTCCTGTTGTGACCCTCAACCATCAAATTGTTTTCTTTGCTACTTCATAACTAATTTTGCTTCTGTTATGAATCGTAATGTAGATATGCGTGTTTTCTGATGATCTCACGTGACCCTGCTAGCAGTTCTCAACCTGTGGTTCGCTGTAGAGCCTGAGACCATCGGCATTAGAAAGATTGAGAACCACTGGATTAGATGGTGA